AGAGACAGAGAACACAAGCAGGGGTGGGTGGGAGAGGGAGAAGCAGGCTTCCCCCTGAGCAGGGAGACTGATGTGGGGCTCGATCCCAGGACCCTGGGATCATGACCTGAGCCAAAGGCAGACGCTTAATGACTGAGCCACCCAGGCACCCAAAGAAATGGACTCTTAACTATAGAGAACAAACTGGTGCCCCAGGCGCCCCAATAAAATCGTTTAAAAAAATATTTGTGGGGCATCTGGGTGGCTTAGTCGGTTAAGCATCTACCTTTGGCTCAGGTCATGATCCCAGGGTCCTAGGATTGAGCCCTGCATCGGGCTCTCTGCTCAGTGGAAAGCCTGCCACTCCACCTGCTTGTGCCCTCTCTCTCTCTGTCAAATAAATAAAATCTTTAAAAATATATATTTGTATGTTATATTTTTTCCATCATTTTGCTTTCAACTTGTTATGTTGTTATACTTGAGGTAAGTTTCTTGTAAATAACATAGTTAGGTCATGTTTTCTAATCTACTCTGTCAATCTCTATCTTTAAATTTGCATTTTTAGGCCATTTACATTAATGTAATTATTGATATGTAAGGGTTTAAATCTACTATTTTATTCCGTTCTTTCTGTTTGCTGTTTTTAATTTCTCTATTTTCTCTTTTTTGCCTTCCTGTGGGTTACTTGAACATTTTTAGAATTCTATTTTGATTTATCTTAGTGTTTTTGAGTGTATTCATTTGTATAGCTTTTTAAGTGGTTGCTAAAACCACTAGGGTAGGTGTGGCCTTTTTACTGGGCAATATGGAAAGTGATCACTCTCTTCTAGTCCTTCTCTAACACTACCCTAGTGGGGAGGGAGAGGTGCACTTCATTATTGCCCAGAGGAAATGGAATTCAAGGCTTACCCTGTGGTCTCTATTGATACTGCAATGGTGGTGGTAGTGATAGGAGGGGGGAACAGGGGTTTGTTATTACCCTTAAGGAATGAAAATCCCTTTGGGAGTTCAGTCACTGCTTGATCACCTCTGATACCACCCTGGTGAAAGGTGGAGGAGGGAGAGGGAGTTGGGGTGCCTCATTACAGCCTGGCAAGTGTGGAAGTCTAGGCTCCCCACTCAGCCTTTGCTAATGGGGGAAGGCCACAGTTCTTTAATTTTGGAGTCAAATAGTTTTTATCTAAACATTTTCCATCTTGCTAGGTGGCCTCTTTCCTGGTCATTTTGTTAAACAGAACAGATGTTCATTGGGGCTTTTTTGTCTGCTCCCATTGGCATTTCCAAATTATGGCTTCTTTAATCCCAAGCCTGAGATAATGAGACAAAAAGAAAACCCAGGGAGCTAACTGCTATGTTGCCCCTTATACCCCAAAAGGTCCCCCAAAGTACCTTCTTCTCTCTACCTTTCAAAGACTGCCTATGTTTGTTTTATATATAAGGTCCAGGATTTTTAGCTGTACTTAGCAGGAGGAATAGGGAAAAATACTACTACTACTAATACTACTACTACTACTACTACTACTAGTAGTAGTACCTTTCTGGAAGCAGAAATCCTATAAATACTTTTAATGCCAACATAATCATTTTAAAGCCCTATTAATCTCCTACCTGCTATTATTCCATGGGTAGAAGCCTTTTTTTTTCATGCTATACAGTTAAAAGTATGTGTCTTAATCAGGGTTCTCTAGAAAAACAGAACCAATAGGAGATACATATCTGTATCTATCTGTATATAAAAGAAGTAGTTCGCCTATGCACTCTGTGACTCTTGCAAGTCCCAGCATCTGCATTGTGAATTGGCAAGCTGGAACCCAGGTTCCAATCCTAGTCGGAAGGCCTGAGAACCAGGACAGCTGATGGTGTAGTTCTAGTCTGAAGGCTGGCAGGCTCTAGATGCAGGAAGAGCTGATGTTTCAGTTCAAGTCCAAAGGCAGAAAAAAAATTCTCTTATTCAGCAGAGGTTCAGCCTTTTTGTTCTATTCAGGTCTTCATCTAATGAGGCCCACCCACATGAGGGAAGGCAATCTGCTTTATTCAGTCTACCATTCAAATGTAATCTCATCCAAAAATACCCTAACAGAAACACCCAGAATAATGTTTGACCAAATATCTGGGTACTCTGTGACCCAACCAAGATGACACATAAAATTAACCACCACAGTGTACAAACATTTAAAAGCACAGGATTACCAGATTGGTTATTTGGACCTAAATATGAATTCTGACCAAAGTTGCTCACAAATTCACATTTTGGGCTGACTTTGATATACATAGAGAAATTCAAAGAGAATGAGTAAAGCCTTTTAAAGATTCAAAAAATGTATTTAAAGAGAGCAACCACTTGTTGAAAAACTGGATAGCAACATGCAGAAGAATGAAACTGGACCACTTTCTCTCACCATACACAAAAATAAATTCAAAATGGATGAAAGACCAAAATGTGAGGTAGGAAATATCAAAATCCTAGAGGAGACCACAGGCAGAAACCTCTTTGACTGGCTGTAGAAGCTTCTTACTAGACACATTGCCAGAGGCAAGGGAAACAAAAGCAAAAATGGACTATTGGGACTTCATCAAGATAAAAAGTTCTGCACAGTGAAGGAAACAATAAACAAATTTTGTCTACAGAATGGGAGAAGATATTTGCAAATGATATATCTGATAAAGGGTTAGTATCCAAAATCTATAAAGAACTTATCAAACTCAACACCAGAAAACAAATAATCCAGGTAAGAAATGGGCAGAAGACATGAATAGACATTTTTCCAAAGAAGACATCCAGATAGCTAACAGACACATGAGAAGATGTTCAAATCACTCATCATCAAGGAAATACAAATCAAAACCATGCTGAGATACCACCTCACACCTGTTGGAATGGCTAAAATTAACAACAAAAGAAACAACAGGTGTTGGCGAGGATGCAGAGAAAGGGGAACCCTCTTGCACTGTTGGTGGGAATGAAAACTGGTGCAGCCACTCTGGAGAACAGTATGGAGATTCCTCAAAAAGTTAAAAATAGAGCTACTCTATGATCCAGCAATTACACTATGAGGTATTTACCTAAAGGATACAAAAATACAGATTCAAAGGGGTACATGCACCCTGATGTTTATAGCAGCGTTATCAACAATAGCCAAATTATGGAGAGAACCCAAGTGTCCATCAACTGATGAATAGATAAAGAAGAGGTGGGATGTATATGTATATATATATATGCACGCACACACACACAATGGAATATTACTCAGCCATCCAAAAAATGAAATCTTGCCTTTTGCAATGACATGGATGGAGCTAGAGTGTATTATGCTAAGTGAGGTGTCATTCAGAGAAAGACAAATACCATATGATCTCACTCATATGTGGAAGTTATGAAAGAAAATAGATGAACATATGGGAAGGGGAGAAAGAAAAAAAGGGGGAGAGGGAAATAAAGTATAAGAGACTCTTAACTATAGAGAACAAACTGAGGGTTGATGGGGGGAGTTGGGTGGGGGATGGGCTAGATGGGTGATGGGTATTAAGGAGGGCACTTGCTGTGATGAGTGCTGTGTGTTGTACATAAGTGATGAATCATTGAATTCTACTCCAGAAACCAATATTGCACTGTATGTTCACTAACTAAAATTTAAATTTAAAAAAAAGCAGTAGGGATTTGAAGTGTAGATAGATAGATAATAAATAGAGAGATGATAGATAGATAAGGAGAGCAACCACTAAAATCTGGAAGGTAGTATGGCATTATGGGAAGTAAGAGGCTATGGTTGCTATGTTTCCTCAGTAGAGCTTTATAAACAGAGAAACTGTTAAAACTTTGATTTTTCCTAAATCTTAGAGTAAGAATTTCTTTTTTCCATTGTTGAAAGATTTAAAAAATTCAAAATAAGTGTTTCTCATGATCTGTAATCTTTTTGTCACAGTCTCTTAACATTCCCCCTTGGGCTAGCACACAGGTATCAAGAGCTACTGTTTTTCAGGGCAGGTAGTATCTCTTGTGGAGAAGACTTTGGACTCAAACAGATCTGAGTTCCCAGGTGTGTGACCTCGGGCAAATTGTTTTACCCCTCTAAACCACAATTTTCTTATCTGAAAATGAGGAGTTTAATATCTGTAAAATCAGTTTAAGTGCTCCATAATTAAACATTCTCAAAAGTTAGACATCTAGATAATCTTCAGTTTTGCAGTTTTATGAATAAGACTGACATCTTGGTGCTTAAATCTCCATATTTTGGATTGTTTCCTTGAATTCAGCTTTTTAGAGGTAGAATTACTGAGTCAAGGGATAGAACCTTCTAGAAAGGTGGTACCAAGATTGCACTAGCAATGGGAGAAAGAAAGAGAGATGCTTTTCTAATTTTTAAACTTTATATTTTGTAGAAGCATCAGATGATGAAGGAGGAGGAGACCCAGAAATGATGCAGCAAGAGACAGCTCCAGTTCCTGCCCTGTCAAAGAAAACCGAACAGGTGACAGTACTGTAGGAGTCAAACTGTTAAATTCTGGAATCAGCTTCTTCTACCCCTCTTCAGCATTCCTTGTTTAACATCAGTTGTTGGTGGAATTTTAGGGAAGCTTTTATCTTCTTTGCCTTGGAAAAAAACCATGCTTCATTAATGATAAGCAAGGTCTATTTTTACCCTTAATATTTTTTTTCAATATAAATGTATTTTACAATAATGATATCTTAGATTCTTGTACCACATTTTTACCAAAGATCCAGTAGTACTCTGTTTGGTACAGTTCCCAGGAGAAGACAAATAGCATAAAAATATGTAAAATTACCTCTCATAACAATGCATGATTACAGCACCATGCCATGGGGACAGCAGTCTCCAGGGTCTCATGTCTACCTAACATGAGCTATGGTCCATTGTATGAATATTTATCATGGGATTTCTACCTTCAGTATTACCAAAAGTGGTCATTTGATACACTTTGCTTCCTGGACTTACAACCTTTTATTTTCTTCTTAATCTTTCTACTGACCACTCACATCCATTTGCAGTTTTTTCACATTATGTGTCCCTCAAACCTGATCAGTAACCATGTGTGATTTTTTTTAAGGATTATCTACTGTCAAACTAAAATTATCATCTTCTTCATAGCAATGATTTGTGGTCTTACTATTATTGTAAGTGACCCTAAACTCATTCCCATGAGAGGGTGACTCTACCCAGTTTGTAACCAGGCTCAGGATAATTGTGAGAATCTGTTTACTTACAAGCTGTGCGACCTTAAGCAAGTTAAACTCTCTGTGCCTCAGTCTCCTCATTGGTAAAATGGTGATAATAAGTATATCTTCCTCACAGAGTTGCAGTAGAGATTAAATGGCTAATCCTTGGGATATCTGGGTGGCTCAGTGGGTTAAGCATCTGCCTTCGGCTCAAATCATGATCCCAGGGTCCTGGGATCGAGTCCCACATCAGGCTCCTTGCTCAGCGGTGAGCCTGCTTCTCCCTCTTCCTGCCACTCCCCGTGCTTGTGCGTGCTCTCTCTCTCTCTCTGACAAATAAATAAATAAATAAATAGCTAATACTTGTTAAGCCCTTCAAACAGTGGTTGGCAAAGAGTAAGCACCAAAGTGATAATTATTATAGCAAATATTAACACTTCATTTTCTTTATTTTATTTTTTCCTGGTGGGATGGGGGAATACAGAAAGATATACATATTTAATGTGTAATCATCTCAGTTTTCTCTCCAGCCATTAAATATTTTGTTCCAAAGCTGCATATCAGGTTTAGGTTTTGTTTTTTCTTTTTGCTATTATTTTATTTTACCTTTTTTATTCAACTATAATTAACATACAGTGTTATATTAATTTCATGTGTACCATATAATGATTCAACAATTCTGTGCATTATTACTGCTCACCATGGTAAGTGTACTCTTAATCCCCTTTACCGGTTTCACCCATCCTCCCACCCATCTCCCCTTTGGCAAACACCAGTTTGTTATCTATAGTTAAGCGTCATTTTTTGGTTTGTCTCTTTTTTTTCCCCTTTGTTCCTTTGTTTTGTTTCTTAAATTCTATATGTGAGTGAAATCATATGGTATTTGTCTTCCTCTGGCTTATTTCACTTAACATTATACCCTCTAGGTCCATCCATGTTGTTGTTACAAATTCTTTTTTATGGCTGAGTAATATTACATTGTGTGTGTGTGTGTGTGTGTGTGTGTGTGACCTTTTTTCCATTCATCTATGGATGGACACTTGAGTTGCTTCCATATCTTGGCTATTTACATAATGCTGCAGTAAATATAGGGGTCCACGTATCTTTTTGAATTAGTGTTTTTTTTTCCTTTGGATAAATACCCAGTAGGGGAATTACTGGATCATGTGGTAATTCTGTTTTTAACTTTTTGAGGAACATCCATACTGTTTTCCACAGTGGTTGCACCAGCTTGCATTCTCACCAACAGTGCAGGTGGGTTCCTTTTTCTCCACATTTTCGTCAACACTTGTTATTTCTTGTGTGTTTTATTTAAGCCATTCTAACATATGTCAGGTGATATCTCATTGTGGTTTTGATTTACAGTTTCCTCATGATTGGTGATATTGAGCATCTTTTCACGTGTCTCTTGACCATCTGTATGTCTACTTTGTAAAAATGTCTGTTTATATCCTCTGCCCATTTTTACTTGGATTATTTGGGGTTTTGGTGCTGAGTTTGTATAAGTTATTTATATATTTTGAATATTAACTTTTTATTGGATATATCATTTTCAAACACCTCCCATTCAGTAGGGTGTCTTTCTGTTTTGTTGATGATTTGCTTTTCTTTTTGATGATTTGCTTTTCTATTCAAAAGCTTTTTATTTTGATGTAGTGCCAATAGTTTGATTTTGCTTTTGTTTCCCTACCCAAAGGAGACATATCTAGAAAAATGTTTCTATAGCTGATGTCAAAGAGATAAGTGCCTGTGTTTTCCTCTAGGAATCTTATGCTTTCAAGTCTCACATTTAGGTCTTTAATCCATTTTGAGTTTATTTTTGTGGATGGAGTAAAAAAGTGCTCAAGATTTTATTCTTTGTCAGGTAGCTGTCCAGTTTTCTCAACACCATTTGTTAAAGAGACTGTCTTTTTCCCATTGCATATTCTTGCCTCCTTTGTCATAGATTAATTGACCATAAAAACATAGGTTTATTTCTGGGCTTTGTATTTTGTTCCATTGATCTACTGTTTTTGTGCCCATACCATACCATTTTGATTACTATAGCTTTGTAGTATGTCTTGAAATCTGGGATTGCAATATCTCCAATTTTGTTCTTTTTCAAGATTGCTTTGGTTATTCAGGGTCTTTTGTGGTTCCACACAAATTTAGGATTATTTGTTCTAGTTTTGTGGAAAATGTTGGTATTTTGATAGGGATTGTGTTAAATCTGTAGATTGCGTTGCGTAATATGGAAATTTTAACAATATTGGTTCTCCTAATCAATGAATATGGAATCTCTTACCATTTGTTTGTGTCATCTTTTATTTCCTTTATCAGTGTTTTATAGTTCTAAGAGTACAAGTCTTTCACCTCCTTGGTTAAGTTTATTCCTAAGTATTTTTTT